TTTGACCCAAAGATATGGTTTATTGCTTTGCTCCTCACTTATGCCATTGAATGTTTACTCAACTTTAAAGACACTTCATTCAGTAACATTGTTAATTTGTTGATCAGTTGTACTCAACGATTACCTTCACTATTTTTTCGCCAATATTTTGCTAAACGCTCGGTGGTTCGATCGATCCAAATATTGGGTTTGCTATTTTTATCCATTATATTTGGAGCCTCATTCAATAAAGACATGATTATTGTAACAAGTGAAGAAACTGTAAATACCTTGCGTGATGTGGTAAATCAACGAAAGACACCAATTTTCATCAATGGTTTATCCGAACATGAACTTTTTCGACTCGGTGTGACTAAAGATTTCAGAGATGTCTTCAAATTGGCCATGGAAAAAGGTAGTCCTGACCAGTTTTCTGCTTCGCTGGAACTATTCGCCGAGTTTAATTCAGAATATGTTATCTTAACATCAACAAAGATTCGTCTGATAGTAGACGCAATGGATTATCTTTTACGTCCAGACAGAAGTTTCCTTTTACATTGGTCCGATCGAACATATCACAAAGTCAATCAAGCATATTTAGTAACTGCTAGTCCAGTTAAAGTTAATGTAAAAAATCGTCTTATGGTAATGTAAGTGTCTCAGCATTGAAAATAGAGTTTGTCCAAATAGTTTATGACAAAGTCAAGTGCTTATAGCAATCTTGTTCAATTTGTCCATCACAGTCACCGTCACCGACGATGACTCTAATTTCAACTTGAAGTTGCTTCTCTGTGCATAATTTACTAAAATCACGACTAAACTTTATTTTCAATGCAAACTTGGATTCTCAATATATTGAAATAAACAAATCGAAACCTTTAATCTTTCCAGGATATCTCGACTTCAACAGTCTCATATTTTCGATACATTTCAAGAAAGAGCCATTACAGACATTATTAAGGATTTCAATTTATCGCTACATAAAATATTTCGCTTACAATACAGAAGCAGCAACACATACAGAGGCAACACCAAAAAGTTTTATTCACCTCTTTCTAGCGCTGGTTTCCAATCAATTCGTAGATATTTTTTCAACTTTATAGCATTGTCTATTGGTATATTCGCTATTGAATGTGTAATTATCTCAACAAACTGGACGAAAAGTATAGATTTTTGTAAATCCAAATTGTTCAAGTTATGATAAATTGGGTTATTTAGTTGTTCCGCGCTTGTAATACAGTTCAATAATTGGTTAAAGTGTAAATGCTTGATTCCCGAAAATCTGGTTACGAGTTAATATTATATTTATGACTAGATTTTATGTTTCATATTTAACTATTTTCCCTTTCATAGTTTATTAAACTGTTAATCAATTGTACTCAAAGGTTACCTACACAATTGATATTTTTCTGGTCGATCTCTCGTTATCTCAAATAATTTAAAGTAAAGTATAATACAAAAGATCAAATTGAGAAGTAAATAATTTTTTTCCTATTTTATTCAATAAAGTTAATATTAATATACTTAACTAGTGTTATTATAATTTCTGTCCTTTTCAATTAAACGTGTATCGGAATTGAAAATCAATAATGACACAAGCATGAATCGTGTAAATAAAAAATCAGGGAAAATTGACAATTTAAAGGAAATGCAATTAAAGTTTTAATTTGTGTTTATTTGTAAATGAAGATCGATATTTCTACATCTTTTGTAATAATAATAAGTTTTGAGAATTGGAAATCATTTGGTAACAAATTGAACCCATTTTATTGTGTTTCACATATTATTGTATTCACATGATAATTATGAAATTTTCAAATCATTTACTTCCATTTACGGTACAACGTCAGTTTGCTTTACTTTGCTGTTTTACTCAAGTTTTGTATAAAGCGATGCTCATTGAAACTGGCGAAAAGAAATTGAATCTATCAATTGGTGTATTTCAAGTTAAGTTGTGAACAGATATATTTTGATTAGCATGATGTTTCTAATCGATTAATGTTTTTTTTCAATGGACTTTAGGCTGGCTTGCTTAAACTTTTTACCAAAGTGAATGGAGTCGTAGTTCCTGTCAAAAAATCAGTGGGTGAAATGGTTGATGTATTTGCTAAATATGGAAACTTTGAGTAAGTGCCAATTGGTTGTATCCACTTGAATTGGACGTCATAATTTAGGATTGATCTTTTAATATCTTTCGTGGTCACAGGATGAACATCGTAATTGCTGATGGTAGGGTTGGAAAATTGACGAAAAATGGTTACCAAGATGGAATAATGGGTTTGATGAGCAAAAATGTAAGTGTTATCTTAGAGTCGAACGAAGTGAACTATTTTATCAAGAGATAGATCGATGAGATTCGGATAATGATTCTTTGACGTTTTAAGGAGATCGACATAACTTGGATTCCACTACCCATGGACACACCTAACATATCTGGTGTTTTTAGTCAAGTTGTGTACGAAGATGAGTACAGATTAGCAAGTTATTATCGACCAACTACTTCGATAAGTCAAGATGTTATTCACACTTTCACTCTGTTTGACCCAAAGATATGGTTTATTGCTTTGCTCCTCGCTTATGCCATTGAATGTTTACTCAACTTTAAAGACACTTCATTCAGTAACATTGTTAATTTGTTGATCAGTTGTACTCAACGGTTACCTTCACTATTTTTTCGCCAATATTTCGCTAAGCGCTCGGTGGCTCGATCGATCTCAATATTGGGCTTGCTATTTTTATCCATTATATTTGGAGCCTCATTCAATAAAGACATGATTATTGGAACAAGTCGAGAAACTGTGAATTCCTTGCGTGATGTGGTAAATCGAAGAATGACTCCAATCTTCATTGATGCATCATCTAAGTATGATCTATTTCAACTGGGCGAGACTAAAGATTACGCAGATGTCTACAAATTAGCGATTGAAAAAGGTTCTATTCAAGAGTATTCCGCTGATTCGATATCTGCATTTAGTCGTATTACACCTGGCCACGCTATTTTTGCATCATCAAAGATTCGTCGTGTAATAAACTTAGCGCATAATCTTTTTCGAACTGATAAGAGTCACATTTTACATTGGTCCGATCAAACATATCACAAAGTCCATCAAGCATATATAATAACTGATAGTCCATTCAAAGTAGAAGTGAGAAAACGTTTGATGCATCTGTAAGTTGTACAGCATTGTAACCAATGAATAACTTTATTATCGACTTTGCATCCAAAACGTTGATTTTTTCTTGTCTTTTTCTCTTTTTAGAACTGGCCGATTTCAGCAGTCTGATTTTATCGATAAAATACAATCAAAGGGTGTAATCGAAGTCAGCAAGGATTTAGGTGTATCTTTGTATGAAGTATATACTGCGTTAACGAAAGAAACAA